TCTTCTGTGTATAAAGTTAATTGAAAATGAACCTTAATGGAGAATGGGACTGGGAACGGGAGGCAGGTATGGTGGGAAGAATTACTATATTCCTAAAGTTGTACTTATGAAATTTGTACTCATTAAATAAAAGGTTTCTCTGGGAAAAAAAAAGAATGCTACGCTATTAAAGAAAACAGTATGTAACTAATCCTTCTTATGAGTATATACCCAAAGGAAATGAAGTCATTACTCATAAAGATATTTGCACTCTCATGTGCAGCATCATTCATAATAGCCAAGACACGGAAACAACCAAGTGTATGGTCATAGAGGAACAAATATATACATATATATAGAGTATACTTATATACAGAATATTCTGTGTGTGTGTATATATATACTTATATACAAAATAGAATATTATTTGGCTTATATAGGGAGATTATACCATTTGCCACAACATGAATAAATTTGGAGGACATTACCCTTACTGAAACAAGTCAAAAGAAAACTGCATGATTTCACTTATATGTGGAATCTAAAAAAATTAAGATAAATAAGTAACACGTGGAATACCAGAGAAAATAAAATAGTGGTTTCCAGAGGCAGGAGGGGAGGAAGTGTGGAGATACAGGTCAAAGAATACAAAGCAACAGACATGAACGATAAGCAAGTCTGGAGACTAATGCACAACAGGAGGGTTGTACCAAATATCATCCTATACTCAGGATTTTTGTTAAAAGATTGGATTTTAGGGACCGGTGTTGTGGTGTAGCAGGTAAAGCCACCACCTCCAATACCAGCATCCTGTATGGGCACTGATTCATGTCCCAGATGTTCCACTTCTGATCCAGCCCCCTGTCCATGGCCTGGAAAAAGCAGCAGAAGACAGCCCAAGTGCTTGGGCGCATGCACTCAGACCTGCATGAAACTCCTGGCTTCAGCCTGGCCCAGCCCTGGCCATTGAAGCCAGCTGGGGAGTGAACCAGTGGAAGAAAGATATCGCTCTCTGTCTCTCTCTCTAGCTCTTTCAAATAAACAAATCTTTAAAAAAAAAAAAAAAGATTTTACAACTGAAAACTGGATAAAGAAATTATGATATATATATATACACTATGGAAAATTACACCACAATAAAAAAAGGACATGCTTAAGCTGACTTGCCCCAAATGGTGGAGTTAGAAATGTGCCAGGAGATTCCAATACAATCCCATCAAGGTTGCATGTACCAATGCCATCTCACTAGTCCAAGTGATCAGTTCACAATTGATCCTACTGATAGGTCTAAGAGTCAAAAGGATCACACAAACAAGACTAGTGTCTGCTAATACTAACTGATAGAATAAAAAAGGGAGAGAACGATCCAACATGGGAAGCAGGATACACAGCAGACTCATAGAATGGCAGATGTCCTAAACAGCACTCTGGCCTCAGAATCAGCCCCTAAGGCATTCGGATTTGGCTGAAGAGCACATGAGAGTATTTTAGGCATGGAAAGCCAAGACACTCTGGCAAAAATAAACAAACAAACCCTAAATGAAAGATCTCTGTGAGTGAGATCCCAGTAGAAAGAACAGGCCATCAAAGAAGGAGGCACCTTTCTCTGAAGGGAGGAGAGAACTTCCACTTTGACTATGCCTTGTCTAAATAAGATAAGAGTCGGTGAACTCAAAAGGCTTCCATAGCCTTGGCAACTCATGACAAGAGCCTAGGGTGATTACTGATGCCATAAACAAGAGTGTCAAATTGTTAAGTCAACAACAGGAGTCACTGTGTACTTACTCCTCATATAGGATCTCTGTCCTTAATGTGTTGTCCAATGTGAATTAATGCGATAACTAGTACTGAAAAAGTATTTTACACTTTATGTTCTGTTTGAGTGCAAACTGTTGAATTCTTTACTTAATATATGCTAAATTGATCTTCTGTATATAAAGATAATTGAAAATGAATCTTGATGTGAATGGAATGGGAGAGGGAGCGGGAGATGGGAGGGGTGCGGGTGGGAGGGAAGTTATGAGGGAGAAAAAGCCATTGTAATCCATAAGCTGTACTTTGGAAATTTATATTTACTAAATAAAAGTCTTAAAAAATAAAAGTAAAATATTGTCATTTGCAACAAAATGGATGCAACTGGAAACCACTATACTTAGTGAAATAAGACAGTCACAAAAAGACAAACACCATAAGTTCTCTTTGATCTGTGGTAACTAATAGTGTACCTTAAAGGTAATCAGAGCAAAACAGACACCTTGAGACATAATGAATTTGAACAGCCCTTGTCTTGACTGTTGAGGAACAATGTTTTTCTTGTTTGTTTCTTTGTTTTTGTTCTTTTATTTTTTCTTCATACTATTTGGTGAACTCTCTACTTAATGTAAGGTTAATCTTATGAGCAAAAAATTAACTGAAATAGATCTTTGTAAAAAGAAGAAAGGGAGAGGGAGGAGGAAAAAAGGTGGGAGTATGCATGAGAGAGAGGTGGGGGAAGAGAATCACCATGTTCCCAAATTTGTATATATTAAATGCATGAAGTTTGCATTCCTTAAATAAAAAAATTTTTGGTGCTCTTGCTATAGTTAAATGATTGCAGTGAAATGATGGATCTGTTAATTTTTGCTTGACTACAATAACTTTTCCACTACATGACATATTTTTAACACATACAATAAGCTTTAAGAAATATGAGAATCCAACTGTCTTGTATTAAGCCAGAAATTAACAAGACTTAACAGAAAAGTACGCCAATGCCATTCTTCTGACCAAATATTTTTCCTTCAGGAAAATAGTTATTCTTCACAAATTTATATTAAGTTCACATGTAGTCAGATTTTTAATTAACCAATCTTTTTAAAATTTGAGAGAAATGAAAGAGAGAAAGAGAGAGATCCCATCTATTGTTCACTCCCCAAAAGCCTACCATGTCTAGGGCTGGGCCAGGCTGAAGAACCCAGCTAGGAAGGCAATCTCCCATGTGGATGGTGGAAACACAATTACTGGAACCATTACTACTGCCTCCCAGGTTCTGCATCAGCAGGAAACTAGAGTTAGAAGCTGGAGCCGGGAAGCAAATTCACATACTCAGATAAGGCATACAGGCATATAAACCACTTGGCTAAACTCCTGCTTCTAAACCAAAATTTCTTTAGTTTTTTAGTTTTAATTTCTAGTGTGGTACATAAAGAATTAAAATCCATATTTCATAAAGTTCCTTGGAGTCCTCAATTTTTAAAAGTATAAAGGGGTCCTGAGACCCAGAAAGTTGAGAACTGAAGGAAAAGGCAATTACCAAATAGACAAGACAGTTAAAGAAAACATGGTAGAGCAAACAAGTTGTAAAAGTAGAAAAGACAAAGGCAAATGACTTGATTGTACCTTGAATTTGTATTTGTTATCAAAAGAGAAAAAGGTTGTAGAAGTTTATTTTAATCAGGCTTTTAAAAGCATATCATGAGAAGATATAATTAAGAAGTGTTTCAATTTTATGGGGCTATTTATTCCAAGGATCTTATTGTAGGGTTTCTAGAATAGGAGAGAAATAGGAACAAGACCTGCAATGTACTTTTAAAGGATACATGTACTCCTTCTTAATCTCCTCCATTACAAATGATGTAGAAGAGAATAAGGAGAAAAACGGTTACTTACAACATAATTATTTCTATTATTCCAACGTCTAAGGACACAGAATAAGAATAAGGGACTGAGTGAAAATCAGCTAGCTCCATCAGCTGGAAAACTATTTTGTGATTTAAAGCACTGGTAATATTACCATCTTGCGGCGAAATCAAGTATTGCAATTTCAAGTGACAAAGAACCGAGCAGTGTGAGGCATGCTTTTGACAAGACAGGCAAGTCTCTTCCTCTACACCACCATACTCTCATGCCAACCCTAACGAAAAAGAATCCTTGGGGTTTTTCAGCAAGTAAGAGATGAACAGAAGCCCAAAAGAATGTTATTTAGACAGAGTAAAAAAGATGTCAGGACAAAATAGTAAAGTTAAAAAATTAAAGCACAGCCGAAAACTCCACTGGTGAAAAGTTTCAATGTGTCCACTTCGTAATAGCTGCCACTTCAGATTCTTACAGAGCAAACTTACACTTTGTAAGCACAGTGCTAGATAAAACTTAGTTCATTTTTAGAAGTTATAATTGCTGCCATGCTTTTATTCTCCCATTGTGTAACAGGAGAGGCGGCCTTACTATCTTCTCTTCAACATGGCCCATGTAATTCTCATGTAAATTTTCCCAAGCATGCAAAAAAAAAAGACAATTTATTGACGATTGATCACCAATCTACCTTCACTTATTGCAGACATCACTCAAATACTAAATCAAAAAAAAAAATCTATTTATGTCTACAGACACAGGAGCATGAAAAGAATAAGAAGGGAAAAACAAAAAATAAAGGCTAGAAAGAATGGCATGAATTCTATCTCCTGTTAGAACTAATACGGATAAATTGTGTCCCTTAAAAGCAAGGTACTCGATAGAAACTAAGAACAAGGATAAGATAACTGGATAAGGTATTTTAACAAGGATAAAATATGTATGGTCAATTTCTTGCCTTCATTTTATATATTCCAAACGGGGGGGTGGCCTGAATAAGCTCCCTATTCTAGTTAACTCTCCATTTTTGCTTCCAGTACAAAATGGATCTGTTACATACACAAAACGTAAGAGAAAAAGAATGAACAAGCACACACCTTTCCCTCTGCTCCCACAGCAGTGGCTGCAGAGTTCCTTCTTTATGAAACCCACACACTCCAAGATATGCAACAGGTGCTCCTCAAAGTCCACAAACTATGCATCCAAAGTAAGAGTTCCTCACCTTTGGAAATATTTTTAACCTAATTTGAACAAGCCGAGTTTTTAAATCAATTACATAGGATGTGCTGGTTTCATGCAAAGTTTTGAGGTCCTCACCCTCTCACTTTAACATTACCCTGTTTAGTTCAAAATCACCACTAAATGAGAATCTGTTCTGAAGGAACAGCACCAGTTTACTAATTACAGCCAACCTGTTGATTGCAATGTCTGGTGCAAGCCCTGTGGCAACTGCAGGGTGAAGACAGGTGCGTGAACCCTGTTTCTGAAGAAGTCTTCTGTTGCCTTAGACTGCAGAACCTTGGTTTCCCAGAGCTGTAAAGGGGAGAAAGAGGTAGAGGGGTGCTTTTATTAAAAAAAAAATTATGATATTTTCTTCTAGTTTTTTTTTTGAAATTTAAATTGTCAATGATGGCACAAAGCATGGGAAAGCAGTAAACTATAACAGAGGGGTTAAAACTATAATTTATTGGTTTAAGCTGGGAAAAAAAAATAGGAAAACTTGTATTGTCTACACACCTGCTTTAAGTCTTTCAAGACCTGTTCCTCTATACCTTCTTCAGCAAACAGTTCCCGCACTCCTTCAATTACATCTTCAATTACAGATCTGTAAAGTTTAGGCTACATAAAAGCAAATGATAGTTTTAAATGCTTCAAATGTGTTTAGTCTTAAAAGACATGCATAGCACACTTTCTAATCTTTGTAATCTATAGAGAAAACCTACCACAAAGATTTTTACTATGTACTTCCTACTCCCAGTATTGTAGTTTTCCACAAACTGTATAACTTCAGATGCATAATCCCAGCCTATTGAATTGAATTACAACTCAGCTACAATGAAATGAAACCATAATCTTGTAAAGATGTATGGTAATGGTTATGTTTTTTGGCTAGTGTCAGTATTTAACCTCTCAACTCTTTTTTAAAAGGGAAATTAAATTAAGGCAGCTGGAAATAAACCTGTTTTCACTTTACTGTTTACTCAAAGTGGCCAAAAGAACTTTTTTTAGAGCTCATTATATTATTTCCACAAATGTGAATAAATTCCAAGCCATAATACAGGGGTAATCAAAGCCTGTACCACTTCCAAAATATATAGTCCAAAAAATATTCTGAACCATTGTCAAGTAGAAGTCCAACTGCACCAAAATGGATTGATTTCCTAACATAAACTGAGGGCATAAAAGAACCTTACCCTTCCTTCTACAAGGTGCATACTGTAGAGACCAAATAGTATTCTAAAACATTTCCTGGTAAAAACAAGTCATGAAATAAAATAAAGCAGACTTCTACCCAGGTTAGACACTGGTTACATCAACAGAAAAAGAGGCATTTGAAATCAAGTCATTCAAATCTACGGAAACTGTGCTCCACCCCAGCCCCCTGCCCCAACTACGCTAACAATGACCCAGCTGAAGTAACGTGATATTTAGTGGCAAAACAGAAATTTAGTTGTGCTGCTCTTCTTTCAAATTGCTTAATCAGGCCAAGATGAAAACTATGGCATTCTAGGACTGCTTAACATTGCCCAGAAAATACTCTAAATAATCCTATTCATGCTAAGAGTAGCTAAGTGTTATACTAATCTCTCTAAATATCCAGAGTAAGCCTATTAATAGGCCAATCAGTAACATTTAAATAACAGGTTGTTCCTGAGCCCATCCATTAAGACCAAGTGCCCCTAGATTACTTGCTTCTTCTAAAATGGTTTAGTTTGATAAAGGCAAACTAAATTGATGCCTCAATGTTAGTCCCAGCTAGTGTGATCACACTTAAAGCTAGAGGAAAAATCTCCTAGGGCTAAAAACATCTTTATGATCTGCCCTCAGAGTTTAACAGCAGTAGTCAAAAAGAACCCATTTGAACACAATTGTTCAAAAGCAAAATAGAAAGCTAACATACCTTCTCTTCTAGAACTACAGTTAGACTTTATATTCCTTTCCCTGTCGTCTTTATTAAAACTATGAGTAGTCTACAAGTCCATCTGAACCTCTTCCCTATTCAAAACACATAGCATGCCCTCTCCTTGGCGCTCCTGACCTGGTACGCTGGCATACCTGGTAAGCTGACATTCAAGTACAGGTACTTTACATATCTTAACACACGTCATACAGTGGATGCACATTAAAATGACAGATCCGTAAATCTGGACCCTTTTATGGTGCATATGTACATGCACCTTAAAGCACACACACCCCACACGGATCCCGGCAAGCACACTGTCCTCCAGGAAGTGGGAAATCTGTTGAGACGAACTAATAAAGACGAAGCCTTTTCTTTTTCTCTTTGATTCCACTTATTAAGGTTGACAGAGGGCCTCCCACGTGCCATTTAGTCTGTAAATTCTCCATGTGAGGTTTAGGCACCCCTTAGGAGCAAAAGGGTAAGGGGAGCAGGCTGCACACTTCAGCAGTAAAATGGTAACACTTTGGGGAAAGACCTTAAAAATATGGTGGTGCGGTGACACGAAGTAGCACAGTATCTACCACCTCAGGTTAGTACACTGCATTGTCACCAACAAGCTAAAACGACCTTGAGAATGTTCTAGACAGAAAGTCAGCAGGGTTTCCGAGTCCCCCTTCTAAACACCCCAACCTAAACCATCTGTCGGGGTGGAAAGGGCACCAGGAAGGACACCTGCTCTCCAGGTGGGGTTGGGTCCCACTTCCGGCCGAACTACTGGCCCCCATGGGCTTCCAACCCAACATGGGGGTGAGGAGGAGCCCCAGCGCCCGAGGAGGGGGGTCATGAAAGCCAAAGGGGGCACAAAAGGGTGGGCGGCCTTCAGCGGCCATGAACCAGAGTCCCAGGAAGCGCCCTCAACACACAGCCCGGAGTGCCCCTTACCACAGGGTTGACACAGGCCATGACGGCGGCTGCAGCGCCTGGCCCTTCACGCCTGCGCAGCACGCGGGCCGCCCCGAGAACGCCGGGCCCGTTTTGAACGGCGGTGCACGCAGCTGGCGCAACCGCGGAGGACGCCGGGCGCGGGGTCGGGGCGGAGGAAGAGTTGAGCCCGGCTAACCGAAGGCGCGGGGCCGGGGTGGGGAGGGGCTGGGGGCTGGGGGCTGGGGCCCGGCGCTGGAGCTGGGGCGCCAGGTGATCCTGATGAGCGCAAAAAAGGACACCCGCCATCCTGTCAGCGTCTCGGCTTTGCACGTTAAAATCACCTGGGAGGCATAAAAGCTAGCGCCCGAGTCGTGGCCCTGGGAATCTGAGGATAAGATGCAGGCAAAGTGGGAAACCACTGCTAGAAGGAAGCCAGGTGGCCAAAATCAGCCAGGGGGCTTCCCTTCCTCCGGCGGAACAGCCATCTCTGGACCCGAAGTAACTCCGGCCCTCGCCTGAGGCGCTGAGCTTCTAGGGGCACACCTCGCGGAGCCAAAAAGCGACAACTTGAGGGGGCAGGGAGGGACAGATGATCTCAACAGGTGGAGAAGAGAAGACGTCATCTTTGCGGGCACTCAGCCCTCCTCAGCACCCTGTCTTGCCTGCAAGATGGGTCTTGACCTAGCCAGATGGTTAAGCTACTGGATGATTAAAAATCCTGTGGGGTTTTAAATTGGCTGTCTATGTATTTACCTGTGCCTGTAAGTGCAGAAAAGCTATTTATACCCTGTTTCTCTGTATTTGCTTTGCCTGGGTCGGGTACCTTAGGGTTTGTGAGTTTCAAGCAGGTGATTTATAAGACACCCTGAAGAAACTTTCCTAAATTGAAAACTATTGGAAATTTCTTTTACGAAAAGCCAAGACGTTTATATGGTAATTTTTAATGGCTAGGTCTCTCTACCTGGCAGTTCACCACCAAGAGTATTCAAAGTGACTTATTATTCACCCAAAATAGAAAAGTAGTCATTGATTCCTACTGATATTATGAAATCCAATTAAATTATTCAAGCTGGGAAATAAGAAAGCTGAAAGGCATCTTGTTTTCCATCTTTTTCATAGCAAGGTTTTAAAACTTTACCCCTAAATGCATGGGATTGGTAATCCCCTAACCTTTTGTGACAGCATACTGTTTTATTTTACTTCATTATATATTTATTATGCTCTTCTCAGGGCTATACTGTGGATCATGCATATTTTTAAAATTAGCTTTGGACCTTGGTACCCATAAAAATGTGACTAACAGTTGAATTTTTATTTCTCAGTAAACTTAAGATATGCAGGTTTAGAGACGTTATGCTGCATTGGCAGAGAAATGTCAGCAGCTTTATATTTGCCCCTTGGTGTCTATCTGAATGGTCACTCATAGGCTCAGCTATAATTCCTTCCTGATGATAGACAATGATCATTAGAGGACGTATGCATTAAGCCAAGTTCTAGGTGAATCCAAGTTGAAAATCTGCTATGGACCTGTGGTGGTAGCCAGGTCACGCTGTAACCTGCAGTTGACCCCTGCCTCCTGCTGTTCACAACCTGGGATTATCCCTTCCCACATTGTACCATGGTTTAGCTGACCAATGGAATAAGGCAGAAGTAATGGAATATCACTCTTCTTTTTAAATATTTATTTTTATTTATTTGAAAGGCAGAGTTACGGAGAGGTAGAGCCAGAGAGAAAGAGATCTTCTATCACTGGTTCACTCTCCAGATGACTACAGCGGCCAAAACTGAGCTGATCCGAAGCTAGGAGCCAGGAACTTCTTCCAGATCTCCCATGCGGGTGCAAGGGCCCAAGTAGTTGGGCCATCTCCTACTGCTTTCCCAGGCCAAAGCAGAGAGCAAGATCAGAAGTGGAGCAGCCAGGACTCAAACCGGTGCCCATAGGGGATGCAGGGGCTGCAGGCTAGGGCTTTAACCCGCTGTGCCACAGCGCAGGCCCCATGGTATATCACTTCTGAGACAAGATTATAAATGACTGTAGATTCTTTCTTGGGCTCTTGCTGTCTCTCAGATTGCTCACTTTGGAGGAAGCTAGCTGTCATATCATGAGGACACGCGGGGATCCTGTGGAAAGGCCCACGTGGTAAGCAACCGACACTGTAGCCCACAGTCAGCAAGGATGAAACATCTGCTAACGATCCCGTAAGCCTGGGCAAGGCTCCTTCCCCATCTGAGCTGTTAGATGGCTACAGCCCTGACAGACAGCTTAACAGCATGCTTGTGAAAGACCTTGAACCAGGACCATCCTCCAAGAGTTTCAGATTCCTGATACTCAAAAACTGGGTCAGATAACAAATATTTGCCATTGTAAGTAATTAAATGCTGGAGTCATTTGCTGTAAGGCAAGAGATAACTTCTACAGGGCCCGTTCTCTGATTGGACTACGACTAGGTGAGGCTTGATTTTCCCGCACTGTAACCCCAGCATGCAAAACTTCTTAAACATCCTCATCAGTCACAAGGGCATTTGAAAAGCATGTAAAGGAATCTTTATAGACTGACATTTGATAGCTTTGGCCCCAGGTTGTCATGAAATCAGCAGACTGTTAGTCATGTAATGGTCACATTTCTTTCATCAATGTTTCAAACAAAAGGGAAATGTGTTGCATGCACAAAAGCACTTTGGATGCTAAAATTGAAATTTCAAGATCCCAGAGCCTCAGTGAGGCAATTTCGCAGTGAGTCTCTTTTATGCTAGTAAATACAGAACAGAAAAGGAATGCTGAGCTTTGGTCCTTATCTGAGTACCCACTTTGAAATTACACCTGCATCAAGGCTTAGCTCTTCCCCAGCCACCCATCACAGAGACAGCATCGGCTTTTCCTTTCCTCCGGCTTTGTTTCGAGACCATAATCTGTATTTAGCACATCGTTGGCAACCAACACCAGGTTTTATAACTTCAAAGCAAATGTTGATCATCAGATTAATATCTTGTCATTCTGTTTGGTCCTCACTTTTGCCTGGCGGTCTCAGTGAGACCACTCCAAGCGTGAAGAAACAACTTCGTTTTGCTCATTGAGAGAAAAGGTACATCTGTGAAGCCTCCTTTTGTTCTGGATACGAACATTTAAAACACATTTTTGAGATAGCCCAGGATCTTTCACATGGTAAACTTTACAATCCAATACAGAGTATTTCAGTAACTGTGCAGACCCTAAGTATATTTACCAATAATGAAAAACACAAGTGTTTGAGCATATGGCTTGAGGCAGCAAATAGTCATAATTAGTTTCTGAACATTTTGCAACCAATGCACTAAACCAAGCAGTATCGTGTTTCTCCAGCTCTGTTTCATCCTTCACATCATCCAGGAAATGAAAATCCAGATCATCTCTGCCTCATCCTGTAATTCTGAAATGGTTACAGTGCTGGCACTTCTGATTGACTTATTCTCTGTGCTTTTGTAACATTTTCCATTTTGTAATACGGCTCAGAAATCAACTTACATTCCTTGAACATTAGATGCTATTCCACCAAGGTGAATCACTCCCTCCACCCCAACAGGATTTCAGTTAAAGTGACTGAACAATGCAATGCCGTGGCCAACTGGCCATTTGTCCACACAGTGGGACACTACTAATAAACACTTCACGGGGCCGGCGCTGTGGCATGGCGGGTAGGAGCCGCCACCTACAGTGCCGGCATCCCACGTGGGCGCCAGTTCGAGACCCGGCTCCTCCACTTCCAATCCAGCTCTCCGCTATGGCCTGGGGAAGCAGTGGAAGATGGCCCAAGTCCTTGGGGCCCTGCATCCATCTGGAAGACCCGGAAGAAGCTCCTGGCTCCTGGCTTCAATCTGCGCAGCTCCGGTCATTGCGGCCAATTGGAGAGTGAACCAGCAGATGGAAGACCTCTCTCTCTACCTCTCCTCCTCTCTCTGTGTAACTCTGACTTTCACATAAATAAATAAATCACAAAAAAGCACATTACTGCCTGTTTCAAGATTTTTTAATATTCAAAAGATGTATACATTGTGTACATACAGAAGTTACTGATTACCATCAGCTCATGGGGAGTATGCAGAGTAACTTCAAACACAATTTTCCCCATCACTACTTTCTAATGTTCTCCTCAGGGTCTTGATAAGGATTCAGTAATTTCCTAGCTAACAAGTGATTATATTTTCATTTCTTTAATCATAATGTGTACAACCATAATCACACATGAACATGAAATATTAGCAAGGATAATATTCATTGTCTTCAATTAATCCTGCAACCTAAATTTCCATTTAAAGAAGATGGAGTTGATAAAGACCAATAATCTGAACTTAAGGCTGTGATTGGGAGAGAACCAACCAGCTTTGTTCCTACGATCACTGGATTTCCCTTCCTGCCTTTCTAATTTGTTTCACTGTTGAGAGAGCCAAATGGCTGTATCTTGAGTATTCTTTGTTGTTGCTTTGGTGCTTCAGATACCAAGAGAAGCAGGGACCGCATGCGTTGGATCCACTTCTTCTATTCCTTACACTAAGAAGAGTTCAAAATGCTGGACGTTACATATAAAGCAAGCATACAGTTCTAAAAGGTAAAGAGAAGAACTGACCAGTTAGGAACCTCACAACTGAAAGAATGACACAGCAGTGAGTTCCCTGGCTTCCTTTTTGCCTGATCCCAGATGGGATGTAAGAGAATCTGGCCACCCAAATACACCAAAAGACAGAGACAAGCAAAGCTTGCTGTCTCCAGCCAAAGGACTGTGATAGGGGCAGCAAGGTAGAAAGCTCTCAGACAAGAGCCACTTTTCTCCATCCAAACACCACTGAAGATCATGGTGGCCCCATTCTCACCGTTACTGCTGCTTGAAATGGTGTTTTTCTTTGGGCTTTGGAGGTGGACATTACAGTTCCATAAATTTAAGTCTCCTATGGTATGAACAGTTCCATTTGCTCGCTAGCATTGCCCTGGCCACATAAATAAGTTACTAACCTCTACTTGTTCACTCTTGGTATGCTAATGAGTAATTCCATATTTGAATTTTTTTCCACTTGGGGTTATGTTTTATCCTTACATGGATAGGTCAAGAAAAGTAAGCACCTGGCTTTGCTTCAAGTACAGGAACACACCTTCAGCAGCTACACAATGGCTCGAAGATACCTTTAACAAGAGACCTACTTCATCTAAGGGTGGATATTAAGTGAGAAAACGTGGTCCCTGGCACATAGGAGATGTTAAAAGGTAAGATTACTTCCTCTCCACTTTCAGCAGCTCTTATAAACAAGGTTACATCAAATTTAAGACAAACATGTTCATCTTCCCCACTTCTTGAAAATGCATGTGTGCTTATTAAGAAAAGAACATTTGTAACTGTGAGTGTGATACACTTTAAATTTCTTGAGGACTGGACTGGGACTGTGTATTATTCATTCTCATGTACCCCATAAGTTTCTAGAAGAGTACTCAAGTATGCAAAGCATCCACTAAATGTTACTGATTTGAATTTACTGGTAGACTGTATAGAATAGTCTTAGCCTATTTATTGGGAGGAGAAGGGAGGATTAGACTATCTTTGGAAGAAGCAGTGCATTGATCTCAGTTCATCCTATAACTCACTCATGCAGTGTTTTTATTCATCACATAGATCTCAAGTTCTGGCCGAGAAAGCAGTCTCCTACCCCTGGCAGTGCCACCACCCTTGTAGAGCCTCCTCCCAGAAAATGAGAAAAACCACTGTGGACAGAGCCGCTGCAATATAAACCCCAGACAATGCAGAAAGGAAGAAAAACACGCAGCTACAATGTCATGGCATCAGTACTTAAAATTCCTTCTGAGGGGGAAGCGGCGGCGGGGAAGGCGTCCTGGGACAGGACCCCGCTCCTGAGATCAACAGAAGGGTATTCCAGGAAGAGGGCACCTCCATCAGCCCAAGCTCGAGCCTTGTAAACAGGATGGGTTGGAAGAAAGATGAACCATTCAGTCTGGCAGGGATGGAAAACAAGCAAGTTGTGGCAAAAGCTGAAGCTGGCTGGTGAGCGGGGGCCGGATGATGTGTCCCCAGTGGCTGCAGTGTGAAGGTGGGTGGGGGGATGGCCACACTGGAGGCAAAGCAGCCATTAAGCAGCTCTGTGTGAAGAGCCTGCAGCAGAGGTGACAGCCGCAGGGAAGAATCCCAAGCTGGAAGTGACTTTCCCTGCATTCAGTCACATACAGCAGACAGGAAGAGAGGGGGAAGACCCCAGGAGCCCGAGGGGGCCGGGGAGGGAAAGGATCTGGAGCACTCACCGTCTTACCCAAGGCCATCTCTGATCACAGCGTGAGTTTAATATAGATCTGTCCTTTTCCACAATGGGCACTTAGCAAACCTTTGAAAAGTGTTTCAGAATATCTCAAAATTATCCACTGGAGAGGCAGGCTCTTGGCATTTAACAATGGCACTGTTCAAAGCTGCTCTTTCCTTGTCCTTTTCATGGCTCTTGAGGACCTTTGGGTGGAATTCTCTCTAAGAGCTGTGAAAATATCAAAATAAAACTGCAGAAAAGGACAAGCATGGCAGCGAGGTGTCACCTCCCACCTGCACCCAGCAGCTCCCGGCCTTGTGAGCAGAGGAAAACCTGGGCAGATTTCCCAAGCCATGGCTACCTTAACCGTTTGTTCTCTGTTAGGGGAAATGGACAGTCTTGGTCTCGAAAATCCCACAACCCCCTCGTTTCGGTCAGTAAAGTCAGTATTCAGGGTTAACACCAGCACCGAGCATATTGAAAGATGTGACCAGAATTTTCAAGAGAATAAAATCAAAGCCAGTCAACTGTAAAGATCCTTAAAGATGTGGGAACCTCAACGGAAAGGCTCTGAATCCAGTTCCGTTTCTGGAAAAGAAGCTAAGAAATGATACATGGGGGATACAGGCCTGTGTTCACCTGTCCCATACACTCTGCTTCCCTCCTGTGCAGGGGTGAACGTCTGTGCTCTAAGCCAGCCGCACTGCCCGTACCTTGGGTGCCATCTCCTCTTGTCTTCTCAGAGACAGAGACATGGCCCTAGCAGTCAACTCTCTCCCTCGCATCATTCATTTTCCTCTCACTGTTGGGTCACTGCCAGTGTGCAGAAACATCCACCAACCAGTGGGGTGCCAAGGACGGGAGTGTAGGCAGTCAGCCCTGGGCACAGACAATAATGGGATGCATTGTTGAGCATTTGACACAATTCTAAAACAACTAACAGGCAGTCTGCTTTTGATTATCACCACATGCTGACATTCTGAGCAATGTCCACAATAAAATACTCTACCTCCCCCTCAATTTTTCTATTGTTGGGCATCCTAAAAAATCACTGCAATTACCGTTCAGTTTTAATATTGCCTATGAAAGACTCGAGCCAGCACATGTTAACTTCTCAGTATTTAGCAAATGTTGTATTTACATGGGCATTAATTTTAAGGACTCCGGTTAGGCAGTTGGGTCCCTGATACACGTGGGCTCAGATACACGTACTCCTGTGGGGCATTCACACTGCTCTACAATCACTCAAACCTGTTTCAGGCACGGCTTGTGTCTCCATCCCTCTGGGAGCTACATATTCTTGGATTTAAACCATAGCTTTATAACAAACAGTGATAGTAGAGATGACGAAATGTAACAGGTTACTTTAAGTCTCATTCTGTGTGATCATGTGAGTTTTCACTCTTGCCTTTAAATCTGGATGAGTAAAATAGAGCATGAATTTCAAGATCTATTTTTATTTGTTAAGCTGCGTTGGGTTACTTTGTATATGAAACGCTTGCTGTATTTGAGTAATAAATAAAAATTGAAGTTTTCCCTTAGTTGTGAATTTTCCTTATCGTGGCACTTTGAAATTAGTCCACTTTCACCTCATTTGCTGTGTGAGTGACATACGTTTTTGCTGTAGCAAGAACTTGGAGTGCACCCCACCCCTCCCTTCAAGAAGGTTCTACCACATCATTTCAGACCTCACAGATGAGCTATGGACCTCAACCACTGGACTTGAAAGCACGCATGAACCTCCGAGTTTGACAGACACTTTGAGAGCATGGGCTGTGGCAGGCAGCCCTCTGCCGGCCACTTCCCTGAAGATGGACAGTCAATAGCTCAAGCTATGCAGAGCCATGCTGTTAGCCTATGGGGTCACCTCGGGAACCTCACCAGCCAACACTGACATCACTCTCGCTGGTTCAGGGACCTCACCTGTCGTCACAGATCTCTGCTGTTACTCAAGCAACCTCTCCAAAGAAACACGTGTCTAAGGATACACCTCATGCTTTAATTAGACCTCATTTTCCAGAGGTCAGCTTCCATCTTCATGGAGCAACTAGATTTTAAGAATTTGGGTCTCGCCATTCAATGTACCTTGTCTATCAATGTATTCCTGTGAATTTTCTTACGATAGTCTCCTCCCTTCTTTAAACATTAGGAAGAAAAATTCTCTTAACACATCAGTAAACCATATGATTCAAGAAATCCTACTTTGATCATCTCCTTGCTTTTTAATGTTGGTATGTTTATTTTTACTTACTTCAACAACAAAGTCAGGAGACAGAGTTCTCCCATCTGCTGATTCACTTCCCAAAATCCCACAACAGCTAGAGCTGGGACATGCCAAAGCCAGGAGCTATAGATTCAATTTAGGTCTCCTGCGTGGGTGGCAAGGACCCAAGTACTTGAGCCAGCACCTGCTGCCTCCAAGGGTGCACATTAGCAGAAAACTAGAATCACAAGCTGAACCAGGACCTGAACCTGGGGATTCTCCAATATGGGATGCAAGAGTCCCAAGAGGAATCTTAATCCTATTTATTTGAACCTTAAAAAAACAGTTTTCGGGGGCCAACACAGTGGCACAGTGGGTTAAAGCTCTGGCCCACAGTGCGGGCATCCTATATGGGCACCTGGTCCACTTCCAATCCAGCTCTCTGCTATGGCTGGGAAAGCAGTAGAAGATGACCCAAGTCCTTGGGCCCCTGCACTTGCACGGGAGACCCAGAAGAAGCTCCTGGACTTCAGATCAGCCCAACTCTGGCCATTGCAGATACTTGGGGAGTGAACCAGCAGATGAAAGAACTCTCTCTCTCTCTCTCTCTCTGCCCCTGCCTCTCTCTAACTCTGCCTTTCAAATAAATAAATAAATCTTTAAAAAAAAAAAAAAAGGAAAGAAGCCTTGAGCTAGAGTTCTAAAAACGTTTTAAAACTAAATAGGGGCTCTAGGCCGGCGCTGCGGCTCACTAGGCTAATCCTCCGCCTTGCGGCGCCAGCACACCGGGTTCTAGTCCCAGTCAGGGCTCCAGATTCTGTCCCGGTTGCCCCTCTTCCAGGCCAGCTCTCTGCTGTGGCCCGGGAAGGCAGTGGAGGATGGCCCAAGTCCTTGGGCCCTGCACCCCATGGGAGACGAAGAGAAGTACCTGGCTCCTGCCATCGGATCAGCACGGTGAGCCGGCTGCAGCGCGCCTGCAGCGGCGGCCATTGGAGAGTGAACCAACAGCAAAAGGAAGACCTTTCTCTCTCTCTCTCTCTCTCACTGTCCACTCTTCCTGTCAAAAAAAAAAAAAAAAAAAAAACTAAATAGGGGCTCAGTGGAAAGAACAGGTCCTCAAAGAAGGAGGTACCTTTCTCTGAAGGGAGGAGAGAACTTCTAATTTGACTACGACCTTGCCTAAATATGATCAGAGTTGGTGAACTCAAAAGGCTTCCATAGCCTTGTCAACTCATGACAAGAGCCTTGGGTGATTACTGATGCCATAAACAAGAGTGTCAATTTGTTAAGTCAACAACAGGAGTCACTGTGCACTTACTCCTCATGTAGGATCTCTGTCCTTAATGTGCTGTACATGGTGATTTAATGCTATAACTAGTTCTCAAACAGTATTTTTCACTTTGTGTTTCTATGTGGGTGCAAACTGTTGAAATCTTTACTTAATATATGCTAAACTGATCTTCTGTATATAAAGAGAATTGAAAATGAATCTTGATGTGAATGGAAGGAGGGAGAGGGAAAGGGCAGGGTTGCGGGTGGGAGGGAAGTTATGGGGAGGGGGGAGCCATTGTAATCCATAAGCTGTACTTTGGAAATTTATATTCATTAAATAAAAGTTTAAAAAAAAGAAAAAAAAAGATAATGAATGTTACAAAAAAAAAAAAAAACTAAATAGGGGCTGGCACCATGGCACAGTAGGTTAATCCTCCGCCTGTGGTGTCAGCATCCCAAATGGGTGCTGGTTCTAGTCCTGGCTGCCCCACTTCCAGTCCAGCTCTCTATTGTGGCCTGGGAAGGCAGTGGAGGATGGCCCAAGTGCTTGGACCCCTGCACCTGCATGGGAGACCAGGAAGAAGCACCTGACTCCTGGCTTTGGATCGGCACAGCTCCAGCCATGTGGCCATTTGGGGAATGAACCAACTCTCTGTCTCTCCCTCTCACTGTCTGTAACTCTACCTCTCAAATAAATAAATAATCTTTAAAAAAAAAACACTAGGCGATAAATTAATAAACAGTACAGTAGGATGATTTGGCAGTTGTTCAACTTGTACCTTTTATACATCATTTAATTGATTCACTTAGTATTGATATTTACATAGAAAATTACCATATCAGATTGTAATAAAGAACCACAAAGTTCGAACTGTTAAATAGCTATGAAAACCATGAGTAAAACGTGCTTTTTTCATCCTGCAGGAGTCTGTTGGCATTCTCCTGACAACCTCTCTGAGCCCCCTCCAACCTCCTGGGTCTCCCCAACCCCTGGCTCACTCCCTTCTCGTCACCCAGAGCCCTCTGCTCTCTGTGATCCTCCTGCAGGCTGAACCTACTGCTTCAGCACCTGTGCACCAGCAGCGCCCTCTACTGGACACACTTGTCCCTGCGGGATCCGGAGGGTATCCTCCCTCTTTCAGCTCTTGGCTAGAACATCATCTCACCAGAGAAGATCTCCGGAACAATGTACCTAAAGCAGCATCCATCTACAGCAGTGATCATAACTTTACACCTGTCTATTGTCTGGCCTCTTCTTAGGGACCCTTCTGAAGAGCAGAAACCACTGTGTTTGTGATTGCTTATCCCCGGTGCCTAGAAAAATACAGGTACATGGTAAGCACTCAATAAACATGAGAAGGATCAGCAAGGTGGTTAACTGGAACAACAAGGAATCCTGAGGTTATTCAAGGGGTCCAGTTGTGGTGGCCAATAATCTTAGGACTTCGTACACTGGAATGTGGAAGATGCCTTCGGGGATCCCTTGTGTGTTCAGCTGCACACACAGACCTGCACTCATTAGGTTTTGGAAGGAGAGTGATCTGACAAAGAATGACCACATCAGCCCATCAAGATTTCTGAGTGAGGGCTAAGAGGCCATCTTGAACGGGACAATCCCGGTTATTGCTCTCTGGGAACTGAAACCGGGCAAGGCTTTGTCCCTGAGTCAAATAGAATATTCTCTTGCAAGCACATATTTGCTTGCTGTTCTCTGAGTCTGAAAATACAATCCTGGCCTGCAGTTTTTAAGAGACTACATTGACCCTGATACCTGCCAAAACAGGATGGATTGATCATAATACTTTATAAATCTTTTAAAATAAAGACTTGAGAGTTTATTAACTCTCATTAGGAAATGTTTCTTTGGAAGCTGTGAAGAATAAAGGAACTATATTTCTGTCTTTTTTAAAGTTAGAAATGGTTACAGGTAAGCATAGTGTTAAAAATTTTCAGGATGAGTAAAAGTGTATTCAACATTTTTAGACAAGGAATTAAAAATACTTTAAAGTGTTTGTCTACCACATTAATTTTAATTATACTCCATCGGACTCACAATGCTTTGAAATGCCCTCAAGATCTTTATTAATCATAATACAACACCACTAAACTCCAAGGCCATTTTCAGTTCTGGGTAGCAGCAGCTTGCCTGAGAGCACCCTCTTCTGTTTAAAGGGTGTACTGCAAGTTACAGTTCAAAAAATTCTCAGCACTTCTGGGTGTCTCAGGAAAATGGTAACGCTACACAATTGATTTGAATAATCCACCCTACTTTCTGGGGGTTTTGAAGGCTGTGGTGGTGCAATATACAAAGGTACCTTAAAAAGTTCATGGAGGCTGGGGCCAGCGCTGTGGCACAGCAGGTTAACGCCCTGGCCTGAAGCACTGGCATCCCATATGGGCACTGGTTTGAGACCCGGCTGCTCCACTTCTGATCCGGCTCTCTGCTATGGCTTGGGAAAGTAGTAGAAGATGGCCCAAGTCCTTGGGCCCCTGCACCCATGTGGGAGACCCGGAGGAAGCTCCTGGCTTCTGGCTTCAGATTGGCGCAGCTCCAGCCATTGTAGCCAATTGGGGAGTGAACCAGAGGATGGAAGACCTCTCTCCCTGCCTCCCTCTCTCTCTCTCTCTCTCTCTCTGTGCCTCTCCTCTCTCTGTGTAACTCTGACTTAAAAAAAAAAAAAAAAAAAAAAAAAAAAGCTCGCGGAGGGGCCAGCACTATGGCTTAGTGGGCTAAGCCTCTGCCTGCAGCACCTGATTCACACGAGGGTGCTGGTTTGTGTCCCCACAACTTCTCTTCTGATACAGCTCTCTGCTATGGCCTGGGAAAGCAGTAGAGGATGGCCCAAGGTCTTGGGATCCTGCACCCACGTGGGAGACCCAGAGGAAGCTCCTGGCTCCTGGCTTCAGCTCAGCTGCGGCCATTGCATTTATCTGTGGAGTGAACCAGAAGATGGAAGATCTGTCTCTCCCTCTGCAACTCTACCTCTCAAATAAATACCATATTTTTTAAAAAAAGTTCATGGAAAATGGAATTAAAAGGTAAAGGTAATTTGAT